CGTTTCGTACTGTCGCTGGGCCTCCCTCCTTATCTGTGCATACTCGTTTCTGGCTCTTCAACTGATCTCTTTATTTTCCTGGGTCCTTTGTCTTCTGTTCTTTTTCCATTCTCTACTGCACTTAGTTTTTGCCTTCCTACACCTTTGGGTAAACCAAGCGCTCGTTCTGGTCTTCCCATTTTTTCTGTTGCCCTTGGGAACAAACCTTTCCTCTGCCTCCCTTCATTTTGTTATTACGTAGTTCATCATATTGTTCACCGACTTTCCTACCAATTCTCTGTCCCACTGAACCTTCTGCAGGAAGTTCTTCATACCTGTGCAATCCCCCCTTTTGTAATTTGGCTTTTCCCATCCTACTCCTGTTACCTTTTCCACTTGTAACTCTACTTTATATTCAAAACTCAGAACCACGTGATCACTAGCTCCAAGGGGTCTTTCATATGTGATGTCCTCAATGTCCGAGCTACTCAGGGTGAACATGAGGCCCAATCTTCCTTGTTCATCCTCCTCTCTCTCTCTGGTAGTTTCCCTAACATGTTGATGCATGAGGTTTTCCAGTAACACATCCATTGTCTTGGTTCTCCATGTTTTGGGACCGCCATGTGGCTCCAGGTTTTCCCAATCAATCTCCTTGTGATTGAAATCACCCATAACTAGTAACTTTGCTCTACCCGTGTGAGCTCTTCTGGTCACCTTAGCTATTGTGCCCACCATTACTCTGTTGTTCTCTTCATATTCTTCTCTTGGTCTCCTGCAGTTCTGTGGTGGGTTATACATCATTACAATGACTGCCTTATGTCCCCCAGACTGAATTGTACCTATTATGTAATCTCCTTCGCCAATTTCATCCATTCCGTCCATTTTCTCAAACCCCCATCGGTTTTTAATAAGCAGTGCAACTCCTCCTCCCCCTCCGCTCCTTCTATCTTTCCTCAGGATCTGATATCTGGGTGGGAAGATTGCGTCTGTTATCATCCTGGTGAGTTTCGTTTCTGTGCTATGATGTCTGGGGGACATCTTCTTGATTCTTTCATACCACTCTTCACATTTATTTGTTATTCCATCTGCATTCGTATACCAAACCTTCAACTTTTCTAAAGCTGTGGTCCGGAGAGAATGTTGGGGTTGGTGGGGACCTATGTTTGCGCAAATTATTTTTTTTTTTTTTTTTTTGAGGGGGAATTTTTATTGATATATACTTTAGCTGTTCAGTTTATTATTATGTAAATTCGTCAGTATTAAATGGATTTATTTACATTTTAGACTTATGGGAAAAGGTTTTTTTTTTTTTTTTGATAATCATAGAAAAACATCTCCAACCTAACCTAGTATTTAACTCAAAATCTATATTAGGTTATCTTATGTTAAATTACTTTTTTTTTTTGTGTGTGTGTATGGCATTACCAAAAAACATACCTACCTATTGGTACAAAATATTTTTCCCTGTTTCAAAACCCACTTATTGTTAGAGAAATTCCATAATGACCCATATTTTCCAACCAGGACGACAAATTAACCGTAAGCCACACATAGTATAATAGGAGTTAGTGGTACAACCTTTTTATAACAATAATAATAATAATAAATCTTTATTTCTACAACTACTTGATATAAATGTTACAAACTTAGCTGATATCATTAGCATTCTTAGTAGAAAACCCCTGGTTATGTAGAGCATTTCGGGCAACATAGGTTAATCTAGTCCCCCAGGATGCTACCCACAATAGTCGTCTAACACCCAGGTACCTACTTACTACTGGGTGAACAGGGTCAGCACATGTAAGGAACCATGTAGGGGATTGATCCTGGACGCTCAGTGTGAGCAGAGGACGCTACCAACTTAACATGAAGAGCCTTTAATTCAATATTTGGAGCTGCCTTTCTCCATCAAATCGAACCCATGACACTGTGCGACATTTGCGGATTTATCTCCCCGTGATGATATAAGTAGAAGTGTGATGATACTGGTAGTAGTAGTACTAATTCTAGTAAGTGGTGCAAGTAGAAGTGCCAATAAAATGTCGCAATAGATGCACTTGTGGCATTTTGCCTAACATATTGTCGGTAATTCTACCAACATTCATACAAGTAGAAGTGATGGTGGTAGTGGTGACAGTCATTATAGTTCTATCGGCTGTACATGTAATGGTAATGGTAGTACTAGTATAAGTAGTAGTGGCAGTAGTGGTGATGGTGGAGGCAGTACTAGTAGCTCCAGCGGTTAAAGTCCAACTTTATTCTAACTTTTCTCATAAAGAACGTGTGCTTGAATTTCTGTAACCACTTTACCCTAGCTCGACAGCTAGCGCATCCTGGGACAAAACTGACCTAATTTGCCCGAAATGCTCTGCATAACAAGCGGCTTTCTATACAGTAGTATGTCATTGATGTCAGCTAGACTTGTATACCCTGTACATGTAGAGATATAGATTATTATATTATTATTATTATGAGTGTATGCGGAGGTAGTGCACTCCGGGACGAAACTTTATCCTTTATTATCCCAATCTCAAATAGCCTAATAAAATTATAGGCAGCTAGACATCATCTAATGCTTCTAGGCAGATAGATATAGACCGTGGAGTCTCCTGTCATATGCCTTGCAAACGCACCCAGGCGTGTTTCCAAACACTCATGCGCACTCTCAAGCACAAACATGCACTCCCACGTACAGAGATGTACTTTTAAGCACCCATGTGAACTCTCCAGTAGCTTGTCAGAGCTGCAGGAGAGCGAAACGTTCCCACAAAAAAATGCCACATTAGTTACATCTATGTTCATTTACCTATTTGTTTGTACTCTTCTGTACTCACCTGTCCATGGTGAAGCATGAGGGATCCTGTCTGCTGACTTTCTCGCCTGACTGCCTGGCGTGTGCCACCATGCTGCTCTCCTCAGGCACTGTCCACCTAGCACTCAATATGTGGCACTGTTCACCCCCCTCCCCTCCCAGAACCATCCACTGATCCCCCTCACTCGTCACCTCATACAGAAGACCTCCCCCTCCCCACATCCCCCCGGATCCCTCACCAGTGCTCCACCCCCCCCACTCCTCTCTTGCCACTCACTAGTTCCTCAGTTTACACTCACTAGTTCCTCAGTTTACACTCACTAGTTACTCAGTTTACACTCACTAGTTACTCAGATTTACGCCACTAGTTACTCAGTTTACACTCACTAGTTACTCAGTTTACACTCACTAGTTACTCAGTTTACACTCACTAGTTACTCAGGTACACTCACTGTTCCTCAGTTTACACTCACTAGTTCCTCAGTTTACACTCACTAGTTCCTCAGTTTACACTCACTAGTTACTCAGTTTACACTCACTAGTTACTCAGTTTACACTCACTAGTTCCTCAGTTTACACTCACTAGTTACTCAGTTTACACTCACTAATTACTCAGTTTACGCTCACTAGTTACTCAGTTTACACTCACTATGTTACTCAGTTTACACTCACTAGTTACTCAGTTTACACTCACTAGTTCCACAGTTTGCACTCACTAGTTACTCAGTTTACGCTCACTAGTTCCTCAGTTTACACTCACTAGTTACTCAGTTTACGCTCACTAGTTACTCAGTTTACACTCACTAGTTACTCAGTTTACACTCACTAGTTACTCAGTTTACACTCACTAGTTCCACAGTTTGCACTCACTAGTTACTCAGTTTACACTCACTAGTTCCTCAGTTTACACGCACTAGTTACTCAGTTTACACTCACTAGTTACTCAGTTTACACTCACTAGTTCCTCAGTTTATGCTCACTAGTTCCTCAGTTTACACTCACTAGTTACTCAGTTTACACTCACTAGTTACTCAGTTTACACTCACTAGCTACTCAGTTTACACTCACTAGTTACCCAGTTTACGCTCACTAGTTACTCAGTTTACACTCACTAGTTACTCAGTTTACACTCACTAGTTACTCATTTACACTCACTAGTTACTCAGTTTAACATCACTAGTTCCTCAGTTTGCACTCACTAGTTACTCAGTTTACGCTCACTAGTTCCTCAGTTACACTCACTAGTTACTCATTTACACTCACTAGTTACTCAGTTTACACTCACTAGTTCCTCAGTTTATGCTCACTAGTTCCTCAGTTTACACTCACTAGTTACTCAGTTTACACTCACTAGTTACTCAGTTTACACTCACTAGCTACTCAGTTTACACTCACTAGTTACCCAGTTTACGCTCACTAGTTACTCAGTTTACACTCACTAGTTACTCAGTTTACACTCACTAGTTACTCAGTTTACACTCACTAGTTCCTCAGTTTGCACTCACTAGTTACTCAGTTTACGCTCACTAGTTCCTCAGTTTACACTCACTAGTTACTCAGTTTACACTCACTAGTTACTCAGTTTACACTCACTAGTTCCTCAGTTTATGCTCACTAGTTCCTCAGTTTACACTCACTAGTTACTCAGTTTACACTCACTAGTTACTCAGTTTACACTCACTAGCTACTCAGTTTACACTCACTAGTTACCCAGTTTACGCTCACTAGTTACTCAGTTTACACTCACTAGTTACTCAGTTTACACTCACTAGTTACTCAGTTTACACTCACTAGCTACTCAGTTTACACTCACTAGTTACCCAGTTTACGCTCACTAGTTACTCAGTTTACACTCACTAGTTCCTCAGTTTGCACTCACTAGTTACTCAGTTTACACTCACTAGTTACTCAGTTTACACTCACTAGCTACTCAGTTTACACTCACTAGTTACCCAGTTTACACTCACTAGTTACTCAGTTTACACTCACTAGTTACTCAGTTTACACTCACTACTCAGTTTACACTCACTAGTTACTCAGTTACGACACCACTATTTCCTTGATCATCACTGGTCAACAATTTTTGAAAAGTTGTATGCTTCTTAAATGAGATTAGTTAATTTTTATGTATTTTCATGTCCTGAATCCAAATATCACCTTGAAAAATGCTTATTGGTTATAAGTTTAAAGATACGAGACATGTAATATTTTATTATTTTATTATAACGTACAATATGTGTCAGTATTTTTTAAACTCCAATCCGTAATCGGTCGCTCTGTAATCCAGGACTGTCATCCTTCTCATCGTCCTCCTCACCACTTTCTTCATCTAACTCGAAGGATACCGAAGTTGGTGCATTAGGAACAGGTAGACCTTCTCCATGTGGAGCTGGGCGAATAGCTGATAGAATGTTTCGATATTCAATGGGCCCCTTTTTTTTATCTTTGATAAGCCCTTTCGTTCTGGAGGTACCATGCAGAAATAACAATTGTTGGTATGGTGTGTTGGCTCCCGCCATGTCATTGGCACAGCAAAAGGCATTCCTTTCCTCTTCCTGTTCAACTATTGGCGAAAGTTAGTAGCACAATTGTTGCAGCACATGTGTGGAGCCCAGTTCTTATCCTGGTCACCAATCTTGCATCCAAAATATAGGTGATATGCCTTTCTGACCATAGCAGTTATACGGCGCTTCTGTGATGCAAAGGTCACCTCACCACAAATGTAGCGGAAGTTGTCTGTCCTGTTCACACAAGTACGAGGCATCTGAAAGAAGAAAACAACAACAATTAGAAGATAAACGGAAAATTTATTCATTAATTTATCATTATAATACAGAGCATGACAGCTAAGCAGAAGTGTTTATATCATTCAGTAGGAAAATAAAATTAATATAATATGCCTCACATGCATATCAACAGCTTGCTCAGTGAATATTTATTATAAGTTTAAAAAGTGTTTGGCTAAGAAAATCACCTTTCACCTCAAAATATAAACTTGCACATCACAACCATCTTCTATGACTGCTGGAACATTAATGAAGGTCAGTGAGATTGTGAGTGTGGTAAGAAACACACTGCCACAAGCCTGTTGGAACCTGTTGTGACACGTAGGTGTATATTTAAAAGTACAGCAAACAATTTTAGCTATGATATTCATTATCAGAGACTTTAAATTAGTTGGAAACTGATACTCTGGTCTCGGAAGCATTTTGGTTGTTGACCAGTGAGCTGTCTATCCATACGACCCTTTCACGCACAAACACACACACACAGGGAAAGAGAGAGGACCTAGTGGTGATCAGTGAAGAGGAGGGGCCAGGAACTATGACTCGATCCCTGCAACCACAATTAGGTGACTTAGGTGAGTACACACACACACACACACACACACACACACACACACACACACACACACACACACACACACACACACACGGGAATAATAACAGATGTCTTCTTTCCAATGGGATATCAGATCCTGAGGAAAGACAGAGGGAACAGAGGGGGTGGAGGAGTGACACTGTTCATCAATAGGAACAATTCTGTCTGGAGGTCCCAAGGTAGTAATTGCAGTGATGTATAACCCACCACAGAACAGCAGGAGGCCAAGGCAAGAGTATGACGAGAGTAATAGAGCGATGGTTGAAACACTGGCTGAAGTGGTCAGAAGGGCTCATGAGAACAGTGCAAAGCTGCTGATTATGAGTGACTTCGGTCACAAGGAAATAGACTGGAAGAACCTGCAGCCACAAGGAGGACCAGAAACGTGGAGGGATAAGATGATGGAGGTGGTACTGGAAAACTTCATGTACCAACACATAAGGGACACTACCAGAGAGAGCGGAGAGGATGAACCAGCAAGACTGGACCTAGTATTCACCTTGAGTAGTGCAGATATTGAGGACATCACATATGAAAGACCCCTCGGGGCAGGTGACCACGTGGTTCTGAACTTCGAATACATAGTAGAGTCACAGGTGGAGAGGGAAGCAGGAAGGGCAAGATGAATAAAGCTAAACTACAAGAGAGGGCACTACGCAGTCATGAAGAATTTCTTGCACGGGGTTAATTAGGACAGAGAACTGGCAGGGAAGTCAGTGAACGAGATGATGGAATATGTGAAAACAATATGCAAGGAAGCTGAGGAGAGATTTGTACCCAAGGGTAACAGGCATAGCGAGAAAGCCAGAATGAGCACTTAGTTCACCCAAAGGTGTAGAGAGGCCAAAACTAAGTGTGCTAGAGAATGGAAGAAGTATAGAAGGCAAAGGACCCAGGAGAATAAGGTGAGCAGTCGAAGAGCCAGAAATGTATATGCACAGGTAAGAAGGGAGGCCCAACGACAATTCGAAAATGGCATAGCAGTGAAAGCCAAATCTGACCCGAAGCTGTTGTACAGCCACATCAGGAGGAAAACAGCAGTCAAGGACCAGGTAATCAGGCTGAGGAAAGGAGGGGAGATCACAAGAAACGACCACGAAGTATGTAAGGAGCTCAACATGAGATTAAAAGAAGTGTTCACAGACGAGACAGAAGGGACTCCAGAAGGACGGAGAGGTGGGGTACACCGTCAATTGTTGGACACAATACATACAACCGAGGAAAAGGTGAAGAGGCTGCTAAGCAAGCTAGATACCTCAAAGGTGATGGGGCCGGGTAACATCTCTCCATGGCTACTGAGAGAGGGAGCAGAGGCACTATGTATACCACTAACAACGATCTTCAACACATCTATCGAAACAGAACGACTGCCTAAGATATAGAAGACAATAAATGTAGTCCTAATTTTTAAAAAAAGAAAAAACACGAAGCATAAAAGTACAGACCAGTTCACTGACAGAAAAGATGCAAATCAAAGAGATTTCAAAAGAGTGGGACACCTAAAAAAGGAAGAGTTTTTCTAAAACACCGACGGTTTCGGGGGCGGGAAACCCGTGTAAAAAAAACTACTGGAGTTCTATGACAGAGTGACAGCGTAAACAAGAAAAGAGGGGGTGGGTAGATTGCGTTTTCTTGGACGTAAAAGGCGTTTGACACAGTCACACAAAATTAATGCAAAAGCTGGGGGACCAACGGGGATAACGGGAAGGCGTGCAATGGATTGGGGAATACCTGTCAGGAAGACAGGGGTCAGGGTACGTCAAGGTGTCAGGGGGGGGCCCTGTGACCAGCGGTTCCACAGGGGTCAGTCCGGGGCCCGGGTGTATTTGTGGTATTTGGAATGACGTGAGGGAAGAAATAGATCAGAAGTTTTCCTGTTTGCAGATGATGTGAAGTTGAGAAAGAATTCAGTCGACGGGGCCAGGCAGAACTACAAGGGATTTTAATAGGCGCGGGCCTGGTCCAACAATTGGCTCCTGGTTTTTCAACCCCCCAAAATGGAAAGTCATGAAGAGGGGGAAGGCAAAGAAGACCGCAGCGGGTACAGTCTGGGGGGGGCCAAGACTACAAACCTCAATAAAGGGAAAGGATTTTGGGGGAGATTAAAACCCCGGTCACATCAAGGCGCACATGAGCCAAATAACTGTACAGCAACGGGCGCCTTGAAAACCTAAAAACCCTTTCCTACTCCAATAAGGAATCGTTAGGACCCGTACACCGTGTACGTTAGGCTATTGGAGTATGCAGCACCATTTGGAGCCCACCCTAGCCAAGCACGAAAGGGAAACTAGAGAAAGGAAAAGGGTTTGCAACAAGCTAGTCCCGGAAAAAGGGGGCAGTCCAACGAGGAGGGGTTTAAAGGGGAAATCGACCTATAAAAACGACGTATAAAATCTGAAGGAATCGACAAGATGGACAGAGACAGAAGTTCCAGAGTTTGGACACAGCAAAAAGGGGTCACAGTTAAATTTAAGACTCTGGATCACAGGGAGTTAAAAAAGTTTTTCTTCACCCAAAGAGTTGTCAGGAAGTGGAATGTCTGGAAGTGATGTATAAGGCGGACCCATACATAGTTTTAAGCGTGGTTGATAAGCTCATGGAGCGGGAAAGAGTGATTATAGCGGCCGTGAAGAGGCGGGGGGCCATGAGCTTGACTCGACCCCTTAAAACACAACTAGGTGAGTACAACAGTGAGTACACACAAAACGCATAAAAATATGTTTTGGGGCGTACCCAGTCCGAAACAATGTTCCATTTCCGCCAATAGCTATGGAAAAGGGAGGAATAAAAGGAAGACATTAAATTGATTTAAAAAACACTAACAGGAAGGAATGAGTGCATTTACAGTGGGGTTCCCAATATGTTACTATTTTTTGTTTTAGGAGAACGACATGACGGGAAAAATAATCAGAGGCTCTGTTGCAGATGATGTGAAAACTAATGAAGCAAAAAAAAACGGTTAAATACCAGGGAAAAACTACATATGGACCTGGACGGGTGCTGGTCTGGGATCCAGGAATGATTATCAGGGGGGAAACAAGAGTTTTGTCCGGGGGGTGCCGGATGGCGTTGTAGTTGGTTCCACAAAGGTCAGTAATTTGACTAATGCAGTTACTTGTACTTAGAGAAAAGAAACTGGGGCAAACCCGGGAAATAACTACAAGGATCTGTACAAGTTGCAGATTGGGCTGGGAAGTGCAAGAATTTAAACCCCGCAAATGCAAAATATTAAAATCTTTGGACGGGGGAAGAGAAAACCAGAAACAGAGTACAGGGTCGAGGGACAAGGGCTGCAAATCTCCTTTAAAGAGAAGGGCCTAGGGGGGGTATAATTCCCAGTATTTAGCTTGAGGAATGCAAACCAAAAACCAATGCTTCAAACGGAGACTGGCAAATGAAGGTTTTTTTCAAAACCTCGGGAAAGAAGATATTTTCAACCCATACGGTAAACGAAAGATCTTGGAGAAGAGCACCCGTATGGAACCGTACCTTTTAAAGCATGTTTAAAAAACCTGCAAAAAGTGAAAGGTGTACTCGAGAAAGAGCCAAAACCCGACGACACTAGGGAAAAAGAAGGGCCACGGGAGGCAAGATTACCCCAAATACAAAATAATTAGAGAAATAAAAAAGAGGACAGGGGGGTCTCAGGGACATGAGGTCACGCGGACGCTAAAAAAACAGATGGCCCCAGGGGAATCAGGAATATTTGCCCTTTGGGAAAGGTCATTTTGCGGAACGGGCCGACAGGGAATGCAGACGTAAATCCCTACAAAGCTTTTAAAAAAGTTTAAGGATTCCCCCAGCGACGAGAGATTGAACCCCCACAGCATACAGAGCGGATCCAGAGGAGATTGACCCGCAACCATAAATGGTGAGTACACACACCACACACACCACACCACACCACAAACCCCACACACACCCACACACAGCAGGTGTTAATACAACTTGCTGATTTGCATGCCCCCCGCGCACATCCCTATTTTGTGTGTTTTGTGTGTGTGGTTTTGTGTGTGTGTGGTGTGTGTGTGTGTGTTGTGTGTGGTTACCTAGGTACTGCCTTCCAAGTAAAATTACTTAAGGGGGGCGTAATTTCATACATATTATTCAATTATTCCAGACAACAGTCAGCCCGAAAATGAAGCTTCACACTCAGCCACGAACGAAGCTTACACTAGCACCCAGACGAAGCTTCACACAGCAGCCACGAGATGAAGCTTCACACTAGCAGCCACGAGATAAGCTTCACCTAGCAGCCACGAGACTGAACCCCCACAGTAGCAGCCACGGACTGAAGCCTCACACTAGCACCACGAGACTGAAGCCTCACAGACAGCCACGAGACTGGAGCCTCACAGTAGCAGCCACGAGACTGAAGCCTCA